AAGGAAGGAAGGAAGGAAGGAAGGAAATAAATACCTTATCATCATTGAGTCCAATATTTTGTAATTGTTGCTGTAAGACTGCAGGTTTGGCATTATGATAAGCAGCCTAAAAAACCAAAAGGAAGAATTTCATAAAATATCTCTGTAAAGCTATTTGTATGACATCACCAAAGGTCTACTCAAAGGTTGAATGATCCTTTGAAATTACCTAGTTATAGTTGTATATTGTCAGGGAGGTGGGAGTTTTTGATTTATTGAAAGTGGTACCTGTTCTAGTATGAAAGCAGACGTCTCCAGTACAATATGCAAATCATCAACATCTAGAGAAAGACCACTTTGTAGCTTATTTTCTTCTTCATCTGAAAAGGCTCTCTCATCCTTTAAAGAGACAATGATGTTATATGTAAAATAACATATGAAATGTAGTTAATGTAAGTTGTAATTTAGGCAAAGTTTAACTCAACACATGTACGACAAAAACTGGTTTGTCTTTGATTATTTTATTTTATTTTGAACCAATGTATGAAAAATGGTGAATAGGTGAGTATTCCACTGACTTGTCAGTGTGACAAATACTTGGTGGGTGGTGACAGGGTTACCATGGTTACCTCTAGCATTTGTTGCCAGGCCCCTTCCAAAATAAACCGGGCACCTAGGCCAAAACTTATCTATGGGTGATGAATGAGTTTAAAACTTTAATCATGGTACTTCCTATTCACATGATAAAAGATTTAAGAAAGACTGAAGGAGATCTGACAGTATTTATTTTGTTTGTCTGTAAGAAATGTAAGCAATTTAGGTTACTGGATTTGCAGTAATTTTGTGTGTGGCAAATGATTCCTTTTGTCATATATATCAACCATGTGCCATATTAATTTTATCATTAAATGAAATTTCAAATATGAGCTAACTCCATGCCATTGCAATGAGGGGGAGGGGTCTGGCAAAGTTTGACAAGGGGCCAGGGGGGAGGGGTGTGGAGTAGTTGAGGTGGGTAAGTATGTGTCATCAATTTTAACAAAATCTGAAACCTTCCTCTAAGTCCTCATCGTTGATTACCTTCAAATGAAGCTTTTGGATGATTCTGTTCAGTAATAGAGGAAATCTTGATGCATCTAAGTCGTTGATCAAACTGACCGCCTTCTTCAACCTCCAAAATTAATCACACATCAATCTTATTTGACATAAAATACACATCAGATAAATACATGAGATACAATAAACAAACTATTCAGCTTAAAGTAGATAATTACGAGAAAAGAAGCAAAATTAAGGTGTTTTTCTGCAGACCTTGCAGTAGCTTGAAACATCAGCGCCATCTTGGATTGGAAACCGGAAGTAGATACGAGTCCCACTCGGATTTCTACAACCTGTCTTCACAACAGGGTTCCCAGTCAGTAAATTTTGTAGTCTGCATCAGAATCACGAGTTTCTTCATCAAAATGATAGGAAATTTTTCGATATAAGATTCCGTATTTTTCTTAAAAGATTTTTTGGGATATTCTTAAAGGGAGTTTTAGTTTCTTTTTTGGGCTTTGAATTGTCGTACCTACCGTCCCCTAGTGAGTAGTAGTTTTGTCAGGAGTAGCCCTGGGTCGGGAGCGCCTCGATAGGAATCCGAAAGAGAAGTTGAGTCATCCATCATGGCGGACGAAGCACCACAGAAGAAGATCAAAGTCACTGTAAAAACCTCTAAAAACAAAGAAATTATCGAAATTTCACCCGAAGCAACGATAAAAGAGGTATGTATCTACTCACAGAATGAAAAATATATCTATTTTATCTAACAGATAGTGTTGTATTTTTAGTTTAAAGAAGAGGTATCTTCAAAGTTTGAAGCCGCTGTTCCTCAATTGTGTCTGATTTTTGCCGGAAGAATTCTCAAAGATGCAGACACTTTAGAATCGTACCGTAAGTATTAATTATCGAATTGTCTTTAGATATTTTATTTGTGTAGCATTTACTCAAATGCTAACAGATTTGGCCAATTTCGTCTTAGAAATAAAAGATGGGCTAACAGTACATCTGGTGATAAAATCCGATAACAAGGTAAGAAAATGTCGACGCACGAGACTATTTGACAGAAAATTGTACTCTTATTTCTCAGTAAAATTATTCTCTCTCTCTTTTAAAAAAATATTACTTATATTCTAAAGGTATGAATAAATAATTCTCAAGAGTAAAATCTTGTTGGGAAGAATGGATAAATTTAGCACGGTGACGTTGTATTTTCGGAAAATCAAAAGTCGTCCAAGTTCGTATAAAAACCTGTTCCCCATAAAACATCAAAGTGATTTCTAATCGATCGTTCTTATTTTAGCTCTTTATAAGTTCTATATATATATTTATTCAAAGTTATTTAGTGTCTATCAGTATTCGATCTTTGTTAAAATGGATTATTGTGTAATGTCTGTATTTTGCAAGTCATTATTATACTTGTACAGTCCAAAAAGGATTATAGAAAGATAAAACAGCATTGTCAGCATATTTATATGATAAACTTATAAAGTTTATTTTTATACAAGATAACATAAAGGCATTGACTCTATCGGAGAAATTAAAATTTGAAAAAGATTATTTACAGCATGGATCATTTGAAGTAAAGACCTTAATTAAGTTAACTGTATAAATTTTTATCCATAATTTTTACTGATAGATTGATCGCTAGGGTTGAAAAAACTTAGATAGGTGGTCATGAGAAAAGAGTAATTTTGGGCCACAGGCTTCATTTATATATTAGTCTATCAGATCATCCGAATGGTATCGGGAAAGTCATGAGTTTGATTCCTATTAGGGACCCCCGAGTTCCTTTCAGCTAGAGACCAATGATAAATCATCTATACTCATTTCCTAGCTTATAAATAATTTCATCATATATCTTGAAAGTTGTCAATCAATCAATCCATCTTTCAATTTTATTCAGAAACTCTGACGCAGTCCACGCTAGTACTCTATTAGTTATCACCACCTGATTGACAACTGACTAATTATTAGTCAGTTGTCAGTCAGGTGGTGATAACTAATAGAGTACTAGTGTGGACTGCATCAGTGTTTCTGAATAAAACAGCAGGAACTTGTGGATAAATTGAATCTTTGTAAAAAGCTTTGTGAAACTGACGTTCCGGACATTAGTTCCTTCCTACGAGTAAGTGGTCACTCACTCTGACAAAGGACTAAGTAAGAGTTAATTACCGAGAACTGAGGCAATAAGCCATATACATCTAGAGGGCCGTAAATAATTATTTTATTTATCAATTGAGAAGGTTTTCTATCAAATATTGCTCGTTATAAATGCAAAGTCTATATATAGTTATTAACAGGGTTAATAGCTAACTATATATTGACCTCGCATTTATAATGAGGGTTATAACAAAAATAAAGCCTTGTGAATAACAAATAAAACTGTGTCAACTGAGAAGTAATGTCCGAAACATCAGTTTCACAAAGACTTTTATGGTGATTCAGTTATCAGTCAGTCAACACTAGGATCAATCTTTCAATCTAGTATTTAAACTTGATCATTAGTACAGTCTTATTTTCATGCTGACTCCGATACTATATTTTTTTCCTAATAGGCTCAACAGCAGGCAGCAGAACATGGAGTAAGTAAAAATTATCATCAGATAAATGTATGATACTGTAAGAAAGTACTCAGATCCAACTGTTAAATCTTCTGTGTTAACTAACAGCTAACAAACACATCAAACCCTGAAACAATTGCTGGGATGATCTTAGTCAGTGCATGGATAACTCACAAATCAAACCCTGAAACAACTGCTGGGATGATCTTAGTCAGTGCATGGATAACTCACAGATCAAACCCTGAAACAATTGCTGGGATGATCTAAGTCAGGGCACGGCTAACTCACAAATCAAACCCTGAAACAATGGCTGGGATGATCTAAGTCGGGGCACGGCTAACTCTTAGATCAAACCCTGAAACATCTCTGGGCTGATCTAAGTCAGGGCACGGCTAACTCAGATATCAAACCCTGAAACAACCTCTGAGCCTAGAGAATAACACATTATTAAATAGACCATGGTTAATCAGCTGCCTTTGTTATGTAAAGTTAAAATTCTAAATGCAGTTTTGGAGATTTTTAGAATCTGAAATTTTCAAACCAGCTCAGAATTATTAATTTTTTGTTGAAAAATAAATATTGTATTTTAAATTTCAGTCTTCAACAAGAAGTGCTGCACCATCTTCAGCTACTCCCAGCGCAGGGCCTACTCCACCATCAACAGCCCAGCCACCACCTTTTGATATGTTTGGTCTTGGAGGAATGGGAATGGGTGGAATGAACCCAGGTAACATTCTTTAATTGACCCTAGTTGTTTCCTTAGCTGATTATTAGTTGAATATATATTCCTGGACTAAGTTTCTTATATGCGTAGAGTTTCTAGTTCATTCTTGCTTCGAGGGTTTTTTCTCTGGGTTCTCCAGGTTTTCTCCCTCCACAAAAACCGACTTATAAGTTGCAACTCAATCATGGAATGAGGGCCACAGGTCTGTTCGCCACTAGCTATTACGGTGCTACCCTCGTAAAACAAGAATGGTTTATTTTATTCAGGATTCCCACGGTCAGGGAAAGTCAGTGAATTCTGAATTTTTTTCAAGGTCAGGTCATTGTCAGGGGATTTTGATTTTGGCTAGGGAAATTTACAATTTATTAAAAAGTCAGGGAAAAGTCAGGGAATTTTCCTTTTTCAGATGAGTGGGAACCCCATTATTTTTTCTGAAAATGTTTTGAATCCCAATTCGTTCTCGAGACAAATGGTAACACTTAAACATGAGTGTAATTCCCAGTTATTTCTTCAGCCAATTCAAATAGGCTGGACTCCTATGTACTTTAACATAGAAACTTGTATTTCCCAATTATTTCTTTAGCTGATTCTAAATTATTGTCATATGTAGGTGGTGATCTGAATCAGATGAGCCAACAATTACAACAACAGGTAAGTCAATGAAATTCTATATTAGTCATTCTCAAGCTCATTAGTAAGTACTCCCTTATATACTAATATTCCCCAATATACTAATATTGTTAACTGAAGCCACTTTTAATATTTTAAATATTTGTTTAGATGATGACGAATCCTGATCTCATGAGACAGATTTTGGATAATCCTATGGTTCAGGTATTGATCTTTTACTCTAGTTTTGCCTACAGTATTTGTACATCATTATATTTAGCAGTACAAATAAGTGCAATGTTTTGTTTTAGAGCATAACATCCAACCCAGAGTTAATGCGACAGATGCTACTCAGTAACCCTCAGATGCAAACTCTAGTAGAGGTAAAGTTTATTTGATATATGTATATGCAGTACAGTGGTGATATCTTCAGTCTGCTGTGGTGATAGATAGAAGGATAAGAAAGATGGACAATGTAAATGGATGGATTAGAGGGATGGACAATTTATGTAGATGGATTGATAAGAGGGATGGACAAAGTGGATGGATGGGTAAGAGGGATGGTCGCAGTGGATGTATGAATAGAGGAACAAAGGGAATAGATAGATGGACAGAGTAATAAGAAAAATGAACAAAGCAAATGGATAGATAAGAGGGATGGACAAAGTGAATAGATGGATAAGAGGGATGGTCATAGTGGATGTATGAATGGAGGGATGGACAAAGTGGATGGATGGGTGTAAGGATAAGAGAAATGGACAAAGTGAATGGATGAATAAGAAGATGGACAAAGTGGATGGATTTCAGATAAGAGGGATAGATAATGTAAATAGAGGGATAAAAGGGATAGACAAAGTGGATTGAGGGATAAGAGGGATGGACATGTGGATAGATAGATAGAGGGACAAGAGAGATGTTTTTACCACATGTTTATATGTTGAAAGAAATTTATGTTGTAAGTTCATTGTGATTACCATTGCTCAATTTGACAACTGACCACAAAACATTAACCATTTTCTTTCTGTATTCAGAGGAATCCTGAGATCTCCCATATCTTGAATAACCCAGATCTTATGAGACAGGTATGTAATTATCAATAAAATTTGCATTTTAGTATTAGTAGCTTTGGTTGAAACATTTCTTGTTCACCATGCATTGTGCAGTGTTGCTTGTTCTGTCATTAGAATGTATATGACAGCTACTGTACTTTATAACGGAATTATTTTCTGGCTGGCAATAATGGCTGGTCGTTTGCCAGTGATGATGACCAACCAAATTAGTTTTAGCTTTGTCATACCTCGTTTTTGGCTCAATGTTACTGGTCAAAAAGACATGCAAGACAAAGGTTATAGTGGATAAGTTCCAATTCTGGCCAGACATTGTCCGATGACCAGCCGTTATTTTTAGCTCTGAGTTGTATTTTAAGGTACTTCCTTTATAGTTTCCCATTAAACTCACGCTCATTCATGACATCTGCCACTATTTCTTTCTAATCAGTTTTTAATGTTTGTGATATTTGTTGTCGTAGACTATGGAAATGGCACGTAACCCAGCATTGATGCAAGAGATGATGAGAAATCAAGACAGAGCTTTGAGTAACCTGGAGGTTAGTACAGGAATATATCTAATTCATCTTGGTGTGATATTTACATGTACCCATTTCAGACCATGTGTCATTCCCTAGAATATCATTTCTTTGTTTAACATTTGAGCATGACAAGAGACATGACTGTGGATACAAATAAGACTAATGAATCTTTTTATCTAGGGTATGACACTTGGTCTAAAAGGGGTAAACATTACAAGATTGATAAGAATTGTCATTGGACTATTGTCCTGGGTGGGGTGCTTCATGTTTGTTTCTTCAGTTTCTCAGGTTTTCCTTCCCTAAAAATAAACACACAAATTCCAATATAAGTAGTAAGAGTCACTCTTAATCCACTCTCCATTTATTTACTTGAAAATACAGTGCTTTACTAGCTTGAATAAAAGACTGGGCAAATGAATGAATCAATGAATGGCTTGGTTTGGCTCATATAAAGTTCAACGTTTGACCTAAGCTTATATCTGTACATTCATAGTGTAAAACATGTTCACCAGTCTGATGTATCATGCTTTCAGAGTCTGCCTGGAGGATTTAATGCTTTGCAAAGAATGTACACAGATATACAAGAACCAATGATGGATGCTGCTCAAGAGCAGGCGAGTTGATTCCTCTGACACTACTGCCCTGCCCTGCCCTGCCCTGCCCTATACCACATCACCCTACACCACACAACACAACACTGCGCTACTATGCACAATATGACTCAGCACAACATGCAAAAAAAAAAAAACAATAGCACATTACAAAACTCTATACAAGGACAAACCATACCATACTTTGCAGCAGACAAAACAATACCATACTACAATATAATACACTAAGCTATCAAACATAATATAACACTACACAGAACAGGACAAAAACATTAGCAACATACAACACAACAATATACAACACAACAACACAATAAATTATGATACAATACACTACACTGCATAACATAACATCAAACAACATGGCATTACGACACACTACACCACACTGCATTACTCCACACCACACTACACTACACTACACTACACTACACTACACTACACTACACTACACTACACTACACTACACTACACTACACTACACTACACNCACTACACTACACTACACTACACTACACTACACTACACTACACTACACTGTACTGTACTGTACTGTACTGTACTATTCAACATGATATGACACTACATGTACTTAGCACAGCACAAACACAACTATTGAAACCACACATCACAAAATCAAACCACTACAAAGCAGACAGACAACATTTTCCACAGTGTAATCTCATTATTTCTATTTCTTTTAGATTCAGCAGCTTCAGAATAATCCTTTTGCTGCTCTCTTAGGTCAAGGTAAGTAAAGACTCTTGTCTAAACTTAAACTCTCGTCAATATATGTACATGAGAACCAAATTTCTGGTTCAAGCTTCCTTGTCAGACCTCTTTACCTGGGTGTAATGCTTTCCCATTTCAGACCATATGTCATTCCCTTGAGTATCATATTATAATTTAATGTTTGCGCGTGACAAGAAATATAATTTTATTCTCAAGAAAATGAGGGGTCTTGAAAGAGTTCAGAAGTCAAGGGGGGTAAGAAAATAGATGATGTCCTTTGTAGGGATATGGATATTTTCTGGAGCTACCCATTGCAAATAAATGACTTGCACTAGCTAACAGGTCACATGACTCTACCTCACTTAAAACAAGCAGTTTTGTCAAAATAAGAAACAGAAATGAAATGAGCACCTCCGCATTAGTAGGGAGGCGGAGTTTCCGCTCACAATTAGTGAAACGGGAGAAATGGCATTAGATATGAAATTGAATGTTTTATAAGGATTTGTATGGGAAAATGCACTGGATGGCAAAAGCTTACCAGCCAACCCTTTACCCATACAAATCTTTGTAAAATCTTTGATTTTATATTTCATTTCATTTCTTCTATAGTCAACATTTAGAGCTGAAACTTCGCCCTCTTACTAAATTTGAGGTGCTCTTTTCATTTCTGGAGTTTGTTTTGACCCATTTGCTCATTTTAAGGGAGGGGGGTCTATTTGCTGATTGTATGTTTATTTTGACCATCGTTTAGGAGGAACTACAACTAATACCACTGCATCTACCACCACTGAAAGCAACTCTACCAATCCACAGCAAGGAACTGAAAATGTATCCCCTCTACCCAACCCCTGGGCACCAGCAGGCGCTAGAACTGAAACTACAGCAGCCACGCGGCCAGCTACTTCTCGACCTGCTACTACTGGAACTACCCCTACCTCTCAGACCTCTCAACCTACTAGGTAGGCAATAATGGTAGCAATAATCAATACCAGGCATCCCAGACCTCCTATATATCCTATATTTCCTATAATTTGTATAGGATCCTATAAAGAGCCTATATTTAAAGAAAACCTCTTATATTTCTTATAAATAGGACGACTGCTGATTGATACATTTATATTTTACACTGTTTAGCATATTTGGCAAAGGAAATAAAATGGCCCTTTTTTTTTTTTTTTTTGGTTCTGCTTTTTTTTGGTTCTGTTTTTTTATGGCTTTTTAGTTTTGCAAATCATTGCCTGTGCACCCTCTTGATCCCTGGTTACGCCACCAAAAAGCTATTTTAGCTCCTATAAAGTGCATATATTTTTGGGGAAAAATCCTATATTTTCCTATATTTAGAACTTGCACAGCCTATATTTCCTATCAAATTTGTCTAAAAAGTGGCTGGGATGCCTGCAATACGCTACTTTGCTAATACAAATTTTTTTCTCACTCTAGTCTGCTCTTGAAGCAAAATATCAGAAATTTGTTGAACCAAGGCGACAAAATCTGGCCGTGCCACACCATTTTGCCCCCAAGTAAACTTGAATRAGGAAAAAAATGTGTATTAGCAAAGTAGTGTTTTCAAAACAATGTATATTAATTGGAAGTGAATTTCAGACGATAGTGCCTGAGTAGGTAAACAAACACTGCCCAAATTTTTTGTTTTGGAATAAAATACACTTAGGTGTATTCTTAAATTTACCTACAAGATATTGGGGAGCTAGATTGTTAAGGCTTTTGGACAGTGAGCTTCTAACGTTTCTTGTTCTTAAAGTATTCTAAATACAAAGCTCATGTAGCTGAATGATGTCTTTCCCTTGTTTTCTAGTCAAACTACCAACCCTCAATTTTCTGGGATGTTCCAAACACCAGCAATGCAGAATCTTTTACAGCAAATGCAGGCCAACCCAGAAATGTTGCAGAATACAATGCAGTCTCCCTACATGCAGCAAATGATGACACAGATGATGCAGAACCCTGAACTAATGGCTAATGTAAGTAAATACATGGACTATATGCAGTCCGGCAGATAGACAGAACGACCAATTATTAATTCAGACAGACAGACCTATTGATGTTGACAGGCAAACAGACAGACAGACAGACAGTGAAATTGGGGGGAAGAAAGAGTGACACACTTGGGCAGATAAACATATTGGACTTTTGATAGATAAAGTTATACTACTGACAGCAGATGGAGAGAAAAAGAGACCTATTAATGCTGACAGGCAAACAGACAGAAAGATTGGGGGAAGAAAGAGTGACAGGCTT